CTTCAGCAAAGGACAGGGTACTACTATACAGGCTGCTCTATGGGAGCATTTTAAGACAGATCTTGCAAAGGAGCTCATGTTTGGCACCTGCATGTGTCAACAAGAGATAAAACCAGGGATTTCAAGGCATTCACATGCAGTTACCTGCAGAGCAAGGTGCAAAGTGCACTACTTTAGGGTTTTGATTGTACTGTTAGCTGTGAGAGAGAGGATGAAATAAGGCTGTTCACCCAGCACCAGGAGACATCATCTCCTCACTTGACAAAGACTAGGTGGTAACCTGGGCAGAACTGGAGGGTGCTGGGCAAACGTCTAATAAGACGAGAGATCAGCCTGTAACCATGTTACCTATCTATATGATCGAGTAGAAAGGAAGAGAGGTGGCAAGAATATTTGCACACACACACCTCTCCAAGAGAATTGACAGGTTTTTCAACCTCCCTTGCCAAACAAAACAGTTTGAATTTGACCAAGCTTCAGTGTGAATGACGGTCACCAGTACTGCAGGCAGCTACAGGTGGCAGCAAGCTTTTAATGATCACACCACCCACAGCTACTCTAGAGATCTTTACCTGCTGTCTTCTCAATGCCCCCCCAAACCCCCCACATTCAAAACAATACTAAAAGGTGGGCTCTAACAGACACTGCCCAAATAAAAATAAAATGCTGGAATGCATTCCTGCAGCAAACAAACCTTTGGTGGCCTTTCTGGCTCCTCTTGGGCGACTTCCTCTTTTACCTTTTCCTTTCCAGCAACCCTGGGAGGAAAATAGGAGCTTGGTTTGCATCTTTCAGCCATCTGGTGCATTATGTACAATTCTACCCTGTTCCACCTAACTTTTTATACTAGAATTGGAACATTGGTGTTGGTGATGTTCGGAAAGCTGGTAAACACACCCAAAATGCATGGGGGGCAAGCTGCAGTTTTCCTTATTTCATTTAGCAGGCTGACTCCCTCTAGAGCCATAGAAAGGAGGCTAGAAAGGGATAACTGCCTGCTTCTCCCGCCCCAAGGAAATAGCAACCCCTGCTCTGCCTTTTCTAGCACAATGCACTTTGTACACCCCAAACCAGCACACCTACCCCACCCCCACTTAAGGCAATGGGAGCTGCAAAGATTACCTATTATAATCCACATAATCCGTCTTCCAGGCCTGGGGAGTTTTCTCATTGGGCTTGCCATGTGTGTCCAACAGGCCTTGCTTGATCATCATCTTCTTCTGAGAAGCCTATGGGGAAATAAGCAGAGGAAACACATGCCACAAGGCAAGGACATGTGCTTTCTTATTGCTGCCATTTCCATAACCCTCAAGGTCCACAAGCAGCAATAAAACAAATCTCTCTTGCTCTTATGGGACTTGAGGACCCAACACCCCTTATGCCCAGCCCCTAACAGAGCCATCAGTCTTGGGTGATAGATCTGGGTCATCTTTGCACAGAGTGCTCTTGACGTCTACTTTAACATCATTTGGCTCACCAACAGCAAAAGCAACCATTTCAAGGGACCAGAGATTCTACCCGTTTCTGTGGTAGCAAGGTGTGGCCAAGATCTTTGAAAGTGCAGCCAGGCATGTACAATTTGATACAAAGCTGAGGCACCAAGCGAACAGTTCGAACATACGCCCAGTGGAATGATGCACCCAGTTCCCTGAAAATTCTGTTGCTCCAAGAGCAAATATCAAGCTGCTCTTCTGAATCTGCTCCCCTGTACAGCCAAATGGCGCAGAGCCTTCTCAATACTCACTTTTGGGCCAAGTCCCCACTTGCGAGGGTACGTGTCTCTTTCCATGATCACACGCTTGATTTTTGCTACAACTCCATGGTCGCAAGTAGAGATCACTGCAGTTGTCATCAAGGCAATGGCTGCAGGAAGAAGAGTACAGGTTGAGCACCCTAAAGAATGACACAGTACAGAACCTGGCATTGCCCAACACATGCTCTTTCTGTAACCCACCAGAGTTAGACTTACAACAACATCCCCTGTAGCATCCCTATTTACTACTTAAGGAGGTTCTCCCTCTAGAAAGCAGAATATATGTTTTTGGTGTGAACAACACATGCACATGAAGTGTGTAAGCAGGACACAGGTTAACACCCACCCACAAGGGTATTTTAATGCCATTTGCCCATATTCTTGCACTCAGATTTTTTATGTTTGGAAAAGGCACACCAGAGCAATATGTGATCAGACAGTTTCATTCTTCCTGGTTGAGTCAGAGCCCCATAAAGGCCTCTGACCCTGCTTGTTCCACCCAGGCCCTGCCAGCAGCCAGCCAAGCATCCCCATGCCCCCCAGTAGAACACTGGAAGGCTTAAAGGTGCCTGGAGGCCACTCAACACCAAGACCCAAGAACAGGAATCAAGATGTGGCAGGAAGGGCAGAGCAGCAACACTCAGAGAATGGATAAACTTCATCATCACTTCACATGTGGCCCTGAGCAAGTGCAGGCAGGTGGGGAAGTTGAAGAAAGCTGTTTAAAAGGGGAAGGCAATTTGCAAGATTACTATGTAGTTCCAAACACACTTGGGGAGTCAGCAGGAAAGATGGGCCTCATTTCTCAGTGGGAGAGAGCTAAGCTGCATAGTTGTTCCCACTGTTTCACTTTTGCCCAGCCCAAGGCAGGCGTCCATAATCTGAGGTCACACTTGCAGGACCATTTTTCAAAGCTAGAGTGTGGAGTTGAACACGCATCTTCTCTCCAACAAAATATGTAATGCCACCCATTCAATTTTTATTTCATTTCATGAGCACTTTCCTACTGAAAGTACCGAACCCAAAGCAGTGCATAATAGGAGACGTATTAGATCGAAAAAAGTACAGAAAGAAAACTATGTTTTGATTTGCCACTAGATGGCACTGTAGTCTCATGTTAAATAGGCAAATTGTCACTGCCACCCATTCCAGTACTGGAAGAAGGAAACTGCATGCACTCCACAATGAAGTGTTGATCCATAATCACCTGCCAATGGAGCCTGATAAATGGGCAGCAGGGCTGGGGAGAGAAACCTCTGCTGGATATGCTGGAATCTGTGTTACTAGCTGGAACAAACATTACTGGGCTAGGCAGCCAAGGTCTGAGCTCAGAATGTTGCCGCCTCCTCCTACAACCCACTTCCTTTACACAAAGCACAAAACGTGTGTAATCAGGAGTGCCATTTTGGCCCCACAATCGTGGATGCCCAGGGTCCATGGGTGCCATGCAGCATGCATGGCCCTGGAACAGAAATTTGTGGGCGTCCGGCCCTTCATGGGCCTTCTGCAGGTGTTCGGGCACCCAGGGAGCCAGCACCTATGTTTGCAATAACTCAATTAAAACAACCTAAGAAGACAAGTGCCTAGCTGCCAGTTCTCACCTGTGCAGATGGCCTCTCCTTTTGTGGTGATAACAACTATTTCCTGATTGAGTTCGATGCCATCTTCATACCGCAGCAGGCCAGGAAGCATGATCTTTGCACCATAGCAAATGGCGTTCACCTGAGCAGAAAATAGTAAAAATGATCATGCTTCAACCAACAGCTATCACTGTAAAATTCTGTTCTTCAGTTTTCAATCCATGTACTCCCAAGTCTTTGGAGTTACGCCCACAAAAATTATACCTCCTCACCAAGAGGCTTGCATGGCGTGGGTAATAAAAGCTCCATACTGGACAGCATCCTGCACCGTCAATACTGTAACCACCAACAGTGGCATTCACTCCCTTAAGGTACCTGCCCCCACCCCTCCCACCTTTAAACAGCCCCGGAAGCAGAAATTAGGACTAAAGCAGTCAGGCTGCATCATTTTCTTAAGATTCTTAAATAAAAATACTTTTGCAGACAGTGAAGCATCATCTTAGAAGGCAGCAATCTAAGAAAATGAGGAATGCCTCTTCTAAGAGACAGTCTGACAAAAAAGCGACGTTGTTCAAGCAGTAGCGATGGACTGTGGTGCCTTGGCTATAAGTCCCGGGAACTCACCGCGCTGTCCTTCATAACAAGTCGCTTGTGGGATGTCAGCAGCTTCTCCAGGGGGAAGATCACCCTCCTGAGGTACGTCTCGTCCTTGTTGTTGTCATATTGCCATTGGGCATCCAGCACATCATGCATAGTCACCATGTGGTCCTAGAAGCAGAAACCACCCCATTATATAACTGGGAATATGGAAAGCAGCCTGACACAAAAGCCAGGGTGTTTTTTTTACCATCCATCCCAACTACTGCTACTCTGATGGGCAGCAACTCTTAAGTTTCCATCACTGCGATCTGATCCTGCACTGGCTGCAGATGCCAAGCATTTGAGCTAGAACCATCACTGAGCCATAGCCCCTCCCAGCATGCAGGCCACTGCCTAAGGCAAAAGGGCTGGGAGAAAAGAAGATAGTTCCATGTACAAGCTTCATGTCCTGAACACACTGGGAATTGGGGTACAAACACAAAGGCAAGTGTTAGCACAGACAAAAACAAAAGAGTGAATAGTGAAGAGCCACACGGTAAAGCAACCCCCTCATCTTGGTGCTCTTCCTATGTTTTGGGCTACAATTCTCACCAGCCCCAGCCAACAAGGAATGGTCAGGGATGATGAGAGCTGCAGTCCAATATATGCACTGAAGACACCAGATTGGGAAAGACAGCATTAATGCCTCTCCTTTGCAATTCCATACAACTATTTAAGTTTGACCATTCATAAATTCTACAGCATTCTCTTCACATAGCCTAAAGCTCTTTCCCCACGTGGAAGATGTCACCAGCAAAGCTAGCCCGCTCTGCAGAACTTTGCAGAAATCACATGCAGGGAAAGGTTTGGACTACTGAGCAGTTGTTTGTTCCCCACTCTAGAGAACTGCAGAGAGCAGCCCTACACAAGAGGACTGAATAGGAGTTGGAAGCCGAGTTTCTGCGGAGCTGACATGAGCTTAGCAAACATCAAGTTATCAAAGTTCCATAAACACTAGTTTTATTCACCTGTAATGAACAGTCAATAATGGATTCTGTGCAATTAGTCTCATAGGGGCCATGGGTAATTTTTGTGGGTTGGGGGACAGAACTGGCAGAAACAAAGCTTCCTGCCTTTGACATCTCCCAACTACTCACTGTCCCAAAGTTTAATTACCAGAACAGGGGAGTCAGCCCTGTACTGAACTCAACACTTTGGGTAGTGACAATCATGTGCTCTGACGTACACCTTGCAACGTACCTTCTCTCCCATGACCCCGGATCGCACTCGCCGGAGCTCCTGCATCTGACCACCAACTCCCAGCAACAAGCCCAGGTGCACACACAATGTCCGGATATAGGTCCCAGCTTCACAGCTCACCCAGAAGATACCTGAGAACAGGGCAGAGTCACAGCAGATGTGTGAGTTATGGAGTTCTGTTGACTTAAGAGTTCGAACAGAAAGCATCCATGAGCCATCAGTATTGGGTGATAGATGTAAGTCATCTTTGCACTGTGTGCTATGCTATATCTGTTTTACATCATTTGGCTCAGAAAACACCTCCAACCAGGGGTTGCTAACCTATGGCCTTCCAGATGTTGCTGAGTTGCAACTCCCATTGTACCTGAACATCAACCATGCTGGCTGTGGCTATTGGGAACTGTAGTTCAGGAACAACTGGAGGACCACAAGTTAGCCACCCACGCTTTAAACATCCTAAGAAAACACAAGACTTCAAACTGGTCAAGGAAATGATCTAGTCACCCAGAGCAGTGTATAAAAAATGGGAGAAGAAAGGCTGGAGAGGCTTAGGAAGTAACCTAGAAAGGGTCTCCATGTGTGTGGGGAGGGGGGGAGGGATCACTTTTTCAATTTCTCAAAGCTCAGCTTCTGCTTTGCAGATGTGATTTGAGCATAAGCTCATGATTTAAGGCATATTAACTTGTGGCCCTTCAGATGCTGGTGCACTCTTCAATCAGCAGCAGCTAGCATGGCTAATGGTGGGGGATGAAGAGAACCATAGTCCAACAGTATCTGGAGTGTCCCTGGTTCCCAACCACAGCTCTTCAAGGAGTGCATTAAAGGAAAACCAGTCATACTGCACAGTGGCGGAGCTTCATGTTCCGGTACTGGGGGGCGGTGAGCAGGTGGGGGCGATGGCACCCCACTGGAATAACGCTGCCGGGGACGGTGTACTGCCCCCGCTCCCCTCTTCCTCCGCCAGTGATACTGCAGACCTCATACAAAACAGTTTCATTACCCAATCTTCTTTCTGGATCATATTCTACCAATTTGCTCTCATAGATTGTTCGGACTCTCAGTTGCCTCTTCACTGCAGCAATGAGTGGGGGCCGCTGGAAGAGGGCACCAGTCAGTGTTTCTATTGCCTGCAGAAGGAAGCAGATCAGATACCACTTTAAAATACTTGCGCCCTTGTGGTAATACATGATTGACACATGCAAGGAAGGACGAAATTTCAGGTGTTTTCCCCAAACACACCAAGCTCCATTTTATCAATTGCATTCACCAAGTAAATTTAACTTTGGTTTGGTACGATGTGGTCTTAAGGTTATGGTAATGCAAAACCATGAGTTGGCAAAACATCTGGCTAAATCAAGGCAAGCAGGGAGCTGTACTCATCAACTAGCTTGATCATTAGTCACCAAGGTTACCAAAGAACAAAATGAACTCCAATTGCTACCTGCAGTGCTGAGCAATGGTACACACTCTGCTTCACAAGTATGCACAGAATGTTCCTGGGAAATTCCAATTGATCTTTGAAGAAACCACCACCATGCAGGCAGCTCAACTTCTTTAAAGTGGCTATGAACCTGCTCCCAGATCATAGAGACCACTAAATCAATATTTGTTGTTGTTGTCCCCCACCCCCAGGCATCTCTAGTAATGACAAGGGTGGCTTCAATACCATGCGGCTATAGGCAGTCAGAGCTGTCATTAATCTTAGAAAACCAAGGCCCAAATAAAAGGAGCCTCAATTCTGCTTGCTCTATGTCTACTCTGCAGGCAGCTGGAAGCTGCACAGCACCAAGAACCTAGAACAGGAATCCTGATGTTGCAGGAAGGATAGAACAGCATCACTCAGAGAATGGATAAAACAGCATCATCACTCTGCCCTTCCCATACATGTGAACAGATTTCAAGGGACACAGAACTACAGTCCAAAGTATACCGTATTTTTCGCACCATTGGACGCACTTTTTTACTCTTAAAAAGTAAGGGGAAATGTCTGTGCGTCCTATGGAGCGAATGTGTGGTCCCTGGGGCCAAATTGTCGGAGTGCGGCACACTCTTGGACTGGTCTTTGGTAGTGGTGGTGGAGCCGCGCTCCCCTGCCGGCAGCCTCGGCTTCCCTCTGCAGCCCCAGGAAGCTTTGGAGCAAGAGGAGGGCTGTGCGCCCCTGCCCCGCACTCCTGGGCTGCTGAATGGGGGCGGGGGGGGAGAGCCGCGCTCCCCTGCGGGCAGCCTCGGCTTCCCCCTGCAGCCCCGGGAAGCTTTGGAGGAACGTGAGGGCTTTGCGCCCATCCCCCGCGCTTTTGGGCTGTTGAATGGGGGAGGTGGGGAGAGCCTCGCTTGTCTGCCGGCAGCCTCGGCTTCCCTCTGCAGCCCCGGGAAGCTTTGAAGCAAGGGGAGGGCTGTGCGCCCCTGCCCCACACTCCTGGGCTGCTGAATGGGGGCGGGGGGGGGGGGAGAGCCGCGCTCATCTGCCGGCAGCCTCGGCTTCCCCCTGCAGCCCCGGGAAGCTTTGGAGGAACGGGAGGGCTGTGCGCCCATCCCCCGCGCTTCTGGGGTGTTGAATGGGGGAGGTGGGGAGAGCCTCGCTCGTCTGCCGGCAGACTCGGCTTCCCTCTGCAGCTTTGGAGCAACGGGAAGGCTGTGCGCCCATGCCCCACGCTCCAGGGCTGCTGAATGGGGGTGGGGGGGTGCTGCTCTGCCAGCAGCCTGCCCTTCCCCTCAAGGTTTGGAGCAGTGGGCAGGCTGTGCGCCCATGCCCCACGCTCCAGGGCTGCTGAATGGGGGTGGGGGTGCTGCTCTGCCAGCAGCCTGCCCTTCCCCTCAAGGTTTGGAGCAGTGGGCAGGCTGTGCGCCCATGCCCCACGCTCCAGGGCTGCTGAATGGGGGTGGGGGGTGCTGCTCTGCCAGCAGCCTGCCCTTCCCCTCAAGGTTTGGAGCAGTGGGCAGGCTGTGCGCCCATGCCCCACGCTCCAGGGCTGCTGAACGGGGGTGGGGGGGTGCTGCTCTGCCAGCAGCCTGCCCTTCCCCTCAAGGTTTGGAGCAGTGGGCAGGCTGTGCGCCCATGCCCCACGCTCCAGGGCTGCTGAACGGGGGTGGGGGGTGCTGCTCTGCCAGCAGCCTGCCCTTCCCCTCAAGGTTTGGAGCAACGGGAAGGCTGGGCGCCCATGCCCCACGCTCCAGGGCTGCTGAATGGGGTTGGGGGGGTGCTGCTCTGCCAGCAGCCTGCCCTTCCTCTCAAGGTTTGGAGCAACGGGAAGGCTGTGCGCCCATGCCCCACGCTCCTGGGCTGCTGAATGGGGTTGGGGGGGTGCTGCTCTGCCAGCAGCCTGCCCTTCCCCTCAAGGTTTGGAGCAACGGGAAGGCTGTGCGCCCATGCCCCACGCTCCAGGGCTGCTGAACGGGGGTGGGGGGTGCTGCTCTGCCAGCAGCCTGCCCTTCCCCTCAAGGTTTGGAGCAACGGGAAGGCTGTGCGCCCATGCCCCACGCTCCAGGGCTGCTGAATGGGGGTGGGGGGTGCTGCTCTGCCAGCAGCCTGCCCTTCCCCTCAAGGTTTGGAGCAGTGGGCAGGCTGTGCGCCCATGCCCCACACTCCAGGGCTGCTGAATGGAGGTGGGGGTGCTGCTCTGCCAGCAGCCTGCCCTTCCCCTCAAGGTTTGGAGCAGTGGGCAGGCTGTTCACTGAGAGAGGGGAGGAAGAGGACGAAGAGGAAGGGGGACCAAGAAGCTGGGTGAAGGGAGATGAGGTACCATAGGTTGCCGTGAGTGGAGAGTCATGGTAGAGGGCAAAGGAGAGGGAGCAGTGAAGGGGAGAAATTGTAGACGTCACCTGAGGAGTTTGGGTGAAAGGGATGGAGTGGAGGAGGCTGGAAAAGGGGACTGTTCTGCTGGGAGGGGGGACAAAAATGTGGGGAAAAGGAAAGCCTCCCAAGCCTGCTACTGAGAAGCTCTGCTTGGCTGTTTCTTGACTGTAATTCAAGTAAAGGGAATGTTTGCGAGCAGCTGGCAGGCTGTTCGCTGAGAGAGGGGAGGAAGAGGATTGAGAGGAAAAAATGTGGCATTAGCAATGCTTTGGATGGATACGAAGATGGTATTTTACATGAAGATAGCGAAGAAAGTGATGTCTCTGACTGTGAGCAACTGAGCTTCATAAATTCTGACTTTAGCAGTGATGAGTTCTTGGGGTTCACAGAAGACTAGAAGAGTACTCAAACCTTAAAGTCTCTCTTCATTTGTTAATGACAGTGATGATGGTTCTTAATGCATTGTTGACTGCTGTTCACTTTACATGGCTGTAATGTGATTCTGATATACCAGTTGTTTATTAAATACAGTAGTTTATACAACATTTGATTCAGAATATTTTTTCCTTGTTTTCCTCCTCTAAAAACTAGATGCGCCCTATGGTCGGGTGCGTCCAATGGAGCGAAAAATACGGTACTTCCCATAGCAAACAGGATAGACTGAGACTGGCAATTTGAGCTCTGATTCACAACAAAGAGAAACATTCCAAAGATTATAAGCCAAAAAAGTATGTATTCATTTTTAAATATTTATATCCTGCCTTTTTTCCATCATGGAACCCAGAACAGCATACCTCTGGTTCCTAGAAAGGTATCTACCCAGCAGAAAGTGAAACAAGCAGCAATTTGCTTTGTGCTGCCACTTTTGGTCTGAAGAAACAGTCAATTACTCTTGAAAATTGAAACTTACTCTGATTTGTTTTTGCATCTAATTTTTATTTGTGATTATTTTAACAGTGATTTATTGTGGCATTTTAAACAACATTCATGCCTGTTGCATGCTACCCTGATATCCATGTGAAGAAATAGTTGCTCTCATCGTAAACCCCTACAGCTAAATTTAATTTGGGAAAAGTTTCTACTGCCATCATTCACACTGATGTTCATGACTACACACACACACCTACCTCTCAAATTTTCCTGCCTAGCAGAGACTTACCCTTGACAGCTGAACCTCACTCTCGATTGCATTGTGCAGCCGAACGATTCCCACATACTCTTTGCCTGGAAGACGACAGAAGAGTAGTCAGGAGAGGCCACTTTAATTTACTTTTTTCACCATACCGGTGATTGTGCTGTTTCTATGTCTAGCAATACACTTCTAGGCTTGATAAAGAGAGAAAGCAGATGGTATACCTGCACTCTGTTGAGACTTGACCAAGCGTGTTGCTCGCTCAATGCATACAATCAGGCACCCAGTCACTTTGGGGTCCAATGTGCCACTATGCCCTGTCTTCTCAACACGTAGGATGCGGCGGATCCAGGCCACCACTTCA